GTGTTATTTTTTTTTTTGCACTTTTCGTTCGTTTTTCTAGATAAACCATTTTTGCATGCGTCTTTTAGACGCAAAGGGTGGCGAAGAACGTGCAGCATGGACAATAAATTCATATGTTAATCTCAGCTCATGCATTAACGCTTAATGCGATATACCAAACACGCTCACGACAATCAACAATCGACACAATGTGTCAATAAAGACTTCCAGCTTTGGTGCGCGTGCTTTATGTGAATCATTCGTTTCACTTGAAATGATTAAAGTACAATTTAATAGTAATGCATAACTAAACAACCGTCAAATTTGCAGGTGTTTGCAATGAATTGAAAGTGACTTTTAAATATTTATTAGGTACATACTACATATATCTAGCAAAATAACATTCGATTCAAAGATCTTTCTGTCGGTAGGTCGGCACTTACAGCGCAATTATTCAGCAGAAAAAAGTTTCCAACTAATTATTATGCACAAACGTCACATTAGGGGATGCTGCGGGAGTTCATGATGATCACATGCTTCTGTCGGCTTTAATTGCCTTACAAAATATTTACATATATTATATACATTAGACCGTACCACCTTACAAGCAAATAAAATAAAGTTCGCCGTACACCGCTGAGTCAAACATTTTTTTTTGGTCTGTTTACATTCTTCGGTTACACCTATGTATGCACAGATAATAAATTCAATTATAAATTTTTAATAGATAAATTTTTGTTGTTGCTGTTGTTGTTGTAACGTCTGTAACAACACCGCCCAGATCGGTTAGTCCCTCAATCGTTGTCGTCAAGCTCTACTAACGGTAGCCCCAGGAAGCGAAGCGTTAGCGAGGTGGGATGGGCATACGAAGAGATGCTGTGAGTCATGGGGCGACTCTCCGCATGCCGGGCATTCATTGATTACATCTTCGTTTGATCTGCCCAGGTATGAGTTCAACCTGCTGCAGTAACCAGAGCGCAATTGGTCTATTGTGGTCTGAGTCTCTCGAGGCAGACGAAGTTCTATCTCGTCCACGTCTGGTGGTTGTATGCCCAGAACGGCATTCACAGGGTGTAAAAAAAATTTTGATCATGTGTTTTATGGAAGAAACTGCGCAACACCCTCCGCAAAAAAATTCTAAAAACTCAACGGTAATGTTTAGCGACTTGAAACTTGCACTTTATTATACTAAAATTGAATGGGCTACAAAACTGCATACCCCAACATTTTCTAAATAGTCGAATTAAAAATTTTGAAATTTTGACGACAATTTTTTGAAGTTTGATTAATTTTTTTGCAATTTTTGCAAGCTTTTCAACTTTTGTTATTGTGGTTTCTGATATAGATTGAATTATATTTTAAATGAAAATTATTAAAAATAAATAAATAAACATAATTTGCAAGCAATATCGTTTTGAATTTCGTTGCTAATTAGTTGCACACATCTGCATATACATATATTATTTTTTATATATACATATATTATTTTTTTGTTTTTTTTTTACCACCCTAATGCACATACATACGTACATATTTTTATTCATTCACAGCGCACCGCGATTGGCAGAGCCAGTTGCGGTTTTATAAATTTAAACCAGATACATATAAGAATATTATAATTATTCACAGCCATCGCCCACATAATAACACCCTGACCCGATAAGGTACTAACGACAAGATGCTGTGCTGCGCTACTTCCCAAAACCATGAATGAAATATGTACATATGTATGTACATACATACACATGTAAATTTAAGCGTCCATAAATACATATTTATGTACATACATATATACATATGTATATAAATTTCCAGATCCGAATTCGTAGTTTACAATTATATTTGAGCTCCTACATAGAGAGATATGCTTTAGTACACATTCGCACATCCGCTACTTGATAAAAATGCTAATACAAAATTACAATACAACGAGCAACGCGATAGTTGAAACAATTGGAGCAGAGAATCATCTTATTGGGGAACTTGAGGGCGGCGTTTATACATAGACAGTGTTTATAACAGACATGGGCAGCATTTGCTTATGGAGTTCTGTTTGTGCTGGCCTTCATTGGTCTATAAAAACGCGCCACGGTAACTTTTACATCCACGGTAACAAATTGCGGTAGATCCACGGTAATTTCTAAGAGCCGTAAATCCACAACAAAAAAATTACCGTGGATTCACGGTGATTTTCGAAATACGCGAATAACTGCCTTTTTAAAATTGGATCTACAAAGAAAATTACCATGGCTCTGAGGTTATATATTTTTTGAGCAAACTTTAATTAAGACCTCCGATTTTACGGGTAAAGAGGATAAGGGTAAAGGGAACACGGACGGGACTTATTTCTGCGTAGGCGGCCTCTGGCCACGCTTAGTGATTATTACCCTTAGGGCCAGTTTTTCAGTGCCAGTTTAAAATCAGATTAAGTACTGAGTTTGAATTGAACAGCTGGCTGGCATTTGATTGGCTGATCTTAGTTTAAACCAGGCAGATCGGCCGTTTAAACTTAGTTTAAATTACGGCCGTGCACTGAAAAACTGGCCCTTAATACGCAGAATTCTCCTTTCTGTGTTGCCGGAGAAGTGCGGAGGAACTCCTTTCCGCGTAGGCGGCTTTCGGTCGCGCTTAGGGATTATAACCCTTACTACGCAAAATGCTCCATTCCTGTGTTGTCGGAGGGGCGGAACTTTTTTCTGCGTAAAACATAAAATTAACAAATTTATATATGTATGTATACATATGTGTGTGTATGTAGATGCTGCATAACCTCGTGCTTTTTTTGAAGTCGTTAAAAAAAGATACTAACTTTTGCCGCAGATCTGCAATAAAATGTGGTTAATCGCGCACATCCGCTACTTGATAAAAATACTAATACAAAACAGGTAAGAATGTCTAAGTTCAGGCGGATCCGAACATTATATGGTCATTATGTGATCATAAGTGGGCGGTTGCTAGCCCATTTCTCAAAAATTTATCATAAACGTATTTCTAGCTAAAGAACTATTACAAGCATTAATTTTGAATAAATTAGCTTCAGTATTTACTGATTTATCGAAGATTTCGTATTTGTCTAAAATAGCGTTGTATGGGATGTGGGCGTGGTTATTATCCGATTTTAAAAATTTTCAGCCATTTGGTATGTTGTACCAACGCCAACAACTGTGCCAAGTTTGGGAGAAATTGGTGGAGCGGTTATCAAGATATACACATGTAATCATAAGTGGTCGTGGCTACGCCCATTTTTAAAGAATTTATAATACTAATATTTCTCGTCTAAAAATCATTACAAATATCAATTTTGAGTGAATAAGCTTCAGTAGTTACTAAAATATCGCAGTTTTCGTATTTCTGAAAACTACCGTTATCTGGGAGGTAGGCGTTGTTATTGTCCGATTTTGCCCATTTTCAATACCATCCGTTCTACGTTCGAAAGAAGTACACGTACCAAGTTTCGTTAAGATATCTTAGTTTTTACACGAGTTATCGTGTACACAGACGGGTGCACAAGTGCGCTCGGGTATAATTATAATACAAAGAGCAACGCGATTGTTACAACAATTGGAGCAGATAATCATCTTATTAGGGAACTTGAGGGCGGCGTATATACATGTACCCACATATGATGTACATAATTACATATTTACATAAATACTATAGCATAAAAAGTTAAAATTGCCCGTGACAACAGGCAGATAAACTGATTCACAGCAAGCATGATCTACTATGTAAAACTTACAGTATCCTTCCGGTGCTTGTGACTCATATTATTTGATTACACCTACTTGCACGTCCAATAAATGATTTAACGATACAGCAGCTACCACTATCTCCAGACCATAGCTATCTACTCCTATGATATTCTTTATATCAATAATAGCAAGTGGCATATAAAATTTTCGATCAACACCTTTTGAGTTAGTGCCACTTGTATTATAGTGTTGCTTTTTGCTTGTACAAGTTGGCACTTACTTTTATGGAGAACTATGTACCTACATACATAAATTGTACGTACTATGGCAGACAAAATGTCTCAGCTACCCTTGAAACGGAAAAAATGGCAATCTCAGCTATTATGTGATCGCAAGCAAAAAAAAAAAATACGAAAAACGCCAGTCACCAGTTCGTACAGGCTACAGAATTACTTATATGGTCTATTGCTACTTTTAAGATCTCGAATATTACTGCGCCAAGAGTAGATATCGCTCAACACTCTACCGCCACCATTCAAGCTAACAAACTTGGCTCCTGCTAGACCTTTTGTCTTTGCTGCTACAGTGTTCGATCGTTTTATTAATGTATATTTTTTATACTTCAACTCTATTTCTATTCTATGCTAGTAGCTAGTACTTCTGTGGCTGCTGCTGGTGTTCAATGGCCAGCGTACCGAGTGGGCCAGTCAAGCTGGCAGCTAGCTGCTGGCTATGTAGATACTAAAAGCTACGAGCAAGCACCGATCTCATACGAGCAATCGAACGAGAAGAGCGTGTGGGTCCCCGCCTTAATCCAATCCACTCTAATTCACCTGTGGCCCCACTTGTGACGAGTTTTATTTTATTCTTCAGTTTGTCACTTCAAATCACGTTCCCCCCTCTGATCAAAATGTCCACACAAAGTAACACCAGCGCAAACAACGTCTACCAAACAAGCTGACGATGGCGACGACGCCGCAGTTGTCGTCAATAAAAACGACGTCGCCACGGTGTTGTTGACGTTATTTCTTGTTTTCTTCTTGCTTATTTTATGCATATACATGTACGTATATATGTACATATTTACTATGCTTGTTGCTGCTATTTTTGTTGCAGTTGCTACACTCCATGTTTGATTGCTATTGTTGTTTTTGTCTTTTATGTTTTCTACGTTTGTCCGAAGCGTCAGAGTAGCGTATTCCAGCAAAACCTGTTTGCGTTTTACAATAACAAAAAAACGCATACAACATATAAATACAACAAAAAACTCACTGCTGGCGCGCATACACATACACAACACATACATACGATGCCCGCCTATATACACACGTAGTGCTACAGCGCCCAGTCCAAGCAGCGCAAAGAAAATAGGAGAACGGGTAATGAGCCCCAATTTCCTGCACTTTTCAACTGGTTTTGCTACACAATTTTTTCACTATTTAGCAAAGTATTTACGGGTAAATTGCTTCTTAAAAGCTTTAATTGCACTTTAAACTCACCAAAAATTAGGGATAATTGGAAAATATTATTTAATTTAAAACAACTAATAAACAAAACACAAATCTTTAGCACAATTCAATTCACTTTAATGCGTCGGTGGCCATAGCTAAAATCGCTCTTGCGCCTTCTGTATGTATACAGTGGATGAATTGCCCAGCCACCAGGGTTGCCAGGGTAACCATGAGAAAAATGCAGGGTTGCATGCATTACGACCGCAAAAACTGAAAATACAGTGGCTGACAAATTTTCTTTGGGTCCAAAATTATACGTTCTCTGGACAACACGTTCCACACGTTCCCAGCCAGTGCTGCTCAAACTGGCAGGAAAATATTTCGATAATAACAGAGAACGTATAGTTATACGTTCTCTGATAATAAGCAACATTTGTTGCAGAAACATGTTTCCTCCTCAGCGCCACTGTTATATCGACTTTACCTTTTGCCGATCTAAATTTTACACAACAATCAGAATTGACAGAATTGGTTTGTTTATTAAACAAAAAAGACCAAATAAACTGAGAGTAAATATAAATTACAACAAAAAATATAATACTCGCACGCTAATTATAATCGATTGAAAAACCGCGCAAACTTGCAACACGCAATGCTGCGTTGCATACGTTTTGGTGAAGTGCTGCTGGACGAGACCTTCCGGACATTTTTAATATGCAATCAGTGTCACACAGAATTTGTGGAGGTGCCGGAGTTTCGAGTACATCTAGCGACTACCTCTTGTGGCCAGCGCCTTTTTGAGGAAGAAGTAATTGGTTTAAAATTTGGAGCGGCGCAAGTTACTAGGACTGGCAAAGATAAAACAGTGAGTGCTGTGGCAGCGGGCAGTGCTTATGATTTGTATATACTTATTTATAAATGTTGTTTTCAGTATTCATTGTATAATCCTGCCGATGTACACTTGGCCACTACTGAACCTGCGATTAGCTCGGAGACTGCAAATGACGGTGGTGATGATGCCTATTTGGACTTGATAAAAATAGAGGAAGAGTTACTAGATCCACGTTGGTATACAGATATTACAGGTACTCAGTCTGATGTAGGTAGCCCTCAACCGGCCGCTTCATTGCCGGCATCTAGTAATAACAAGCCAATGGAATATAAGGAGCTAGTGGAGGCTGTGGGGCCGTATGTGCAATTCAAAGAAAATGCAACTAAAGGAAAAGCCAGCGGCGTTGTGGTAAAGCGTTTTCCAAACAAAACATGCAACCCAACGGCAGTGGTGAAAAATCCAATCTTGCCAGTAAAAATCCAACAGTCCACCAATCAACCATCAGTGCGTTTACTAAATCCGGCTGCAAAGAGAAAGCTGGAGTTGGCGCCTAAGCAAGTGCAGTTTAATGACGCGGTGAATGTAAAGTATGTAATAAATGAAAAATTATGCACGAACACAATGGGAAATAAGAAACTCAAAACGCAAAATCGCGAAAATTGTCAAAATACGGATTCGCAAGTACTTAGTAAACGACGTAAAACTATAAATATACCCATGGAACAGGCGAATGTGCAACCAGATCAACAGAAACTAGCTGTCAAGCGAAATTCTGATGTGCCAAAGACGACAGTGGGCCCGACAGTTGCACGTAACATTGTTGCCAAAACAATAGCACAAACGGCAACAATCAAATTGGAGAAGAAACCGAACAGCCTATCTTCGGTTGTTGCTGGTACCAATTCAAAAGCAAATGTTGCATCGAAAATTAGGACAATGCCTGCACCTCAAACAAGTGCACAAACGTATAACAAAAATTTGGTGCCTAATCCGATAGTAAATCAAACACAAATAAATGGCACTAAAAATCAAGTGCTAGTCAAAAATCCTATAACCTACTCAAAAGTTAATTCAAATGGCATAAAAACGGCACCCAATGCAATCAATAAAACAATGCCAGCGGCTGCTATACCACAGCAACGTACCGTTTCCGTCACCACCACTGCAGCAGCGCAGCCTGCGATGTATGCAGACTCAACCCAATTGATACCACCCGCGCTAGCTCCCTTATCAAGTAATAAAGTATGTAATCCTGCTGCCATTGTCGCTGCGAAAGCGGGCGTTGATACTCACCAGCAGACCAATGATATACTGAATAAGTTACAAACACGCGGATTGCAGGTGAAACGCACGCATCCGCCAGTCGCTATAACGGCCAACACAGGACAACACAACAAAACCATGGAGCTGCTTCAGAAACTACAGTCCAAAGGCATGAGGGTGAAAATAGTCAACGGCAAAGAGACTGCCGCATATGCCACAGGAGCAACAGCAGCGAACATAAATGCTAGTATTAAATTGCCAACCTTAGCACCAAACGCGAAAATGGTTAGCAATATGGGAAATGTGACAACAGCCATTGGCAAACCAACTAAAACGATTTTAAACAATAAGCTCATTATCAGGAAAGTAAAATAGAAGTCGAAATGAAGTATTTGTAGAAACGGCATAGACGCATTTCGGCCGATAATTGTTTGGATGGTAATTTTAATAGAATTCCATCATTTTATTTTAGTTTTTCAAGTTTTTATTACACAAAATGCGTCAGAATTCGCTATGGTAAAACTCGAATAATTTTCATAAATTTGTTTTATGCATTAATGTCATATTAGAATTATGTATGTCTTTATATAGCTTTGTATGTAATGCTTAATATTTAAGCAACCAAATACGCGTCACTAAATGTTCACAGTCCGTTTGTGAGTAAATTCTTTTGGACAAGTTCGTTTCGCTCTTGTAGCCGAAGCTGTAAAGTATTTGAAAATAAATGGTTTTCACGAAATTTATTTGAAATACTTTGAATTATTAGTTCAAGCCTTAAGATATTTTGGTTCATAGGCTTCTTGAAGTAAAGAGTGTACCAATTGGTTCGAACTCTAATCACAATTCTAGTCCCCGCCGGCGTTGAATCAAACCCGGGACCACGCAGAAGAGGGTTCCCAAGGCGTTGTGTTCTCCCCGACGCTGTTTAATCTTTACAAATAAAAAGCGTATCCATTAGTTATTTGTAACATACTTATGTGCATACATATATTTCAACGAAAAACAATTACGGCAGCATTGACAGCTTGGAGAATGGTATATCTAAAAGCACTTTACTTAAGGGCATGGTATTTCCTATGCTCACAGCATCGCCCACCCCGCCGACATCCGCAGCCGCGCCACCTTCAGGAGTCACTGAGTTGCGCACCAATTCCCGTAGGCTGGCGGAAATTTTTGCCGTTTTAGCAATAGCCTCTTGCCGCCGTTGACGCGCTTCGATAAAACGCTGCGACTGGTCACTTTTCTGCTGTATATGCTCCTCTAGCTGCGCCAGCCGCTGTCGCTCCTGCTGCTGCGCCTCCCGCCAGTGCTCTTCATGCAGCAGCTCTTCCATGTTATTATCGTAGCGCAGGCGACGTAGATAGCTATCTAGCATTTCGGAGCGTATCTGCTCGGCGCGCTGTAAGCGTTCGCTCAGACGCACGCATGACTCCTGCTTACGCAATTTCTCATCAATTTGTTGCTCCTCCTGTTGCACAGCGACTGCTTCCGCGCGACGCAACTCCTCGCAGCGTCGCTGGCACGCCGCTATGCCGCGTTCAACTCGCAACGCGTCAAGACGTCGCTTGGTGCTGATCTCTTTTTGATGCAGAGCTTCGCGCAAGCGCCGCAGCTCTGTCAGGTCACGTTGTGCAATTTCGTTTAGGCGTGCTTTGGTCAGTAGATAATCTTGGAATTGCTTGTCACGTATGGCGCGCTTGTATTCCTCCATCTGGGCACATTTGAAGAGCTCGCGTTCGTAGCGCTCATTTTCCCAGTACTTGCGCGCCAACCAGGCGTTCTCCTTGGCGATGGCGCGCTCACTGCGCTTGTGCGCCATGCGGTTGAGTATACGTTTGTCGTGTGCGGGCACTTGTTGATAAGCCACCCGCACTGTAGGCGCCAAGCAGAGGCTGGCCATGGAAGCGCAAAGCTTCTGTGAAGTTAGAGAGGTGTGCGCCCCATCATTTGATTCTGTTTTGTCCTTTGACTTGATAGCGCAACGCGGCAGTGTGTGGGATTGTGTGGTGCCAGATGGATCCGCGTCACCAATTGCATTTGTTTGCTTTAGAGCACTCCTTCCGCTAACTTGCAGTGATGCAGTAGCATCGTTGTGCTCATCGTCATTGAGGGTGCCTAGCAGGTCTTGCAAAATTGTACAATCGCGCGTATAGAATGTTGCGCGCTTTGCGACGTTGCGCGTCACTGGTGCAGTCAACGGTGAGGGACTGCGGCTACGCAGACTGCTGACACTTTTGGAGCGCTTAGCAGCCACGGAAGTGCTACAGTTTGCTTTAGCGCTTTTGCCACAGGCGTCGGCGACACTTGGACTTGTGCGCCTTGAATTTGTCGGAGTGTTTTTGGCGCTTTTGGATTTTGGGTTAACGCTAGTTATGGCTTGTGTACTGGAAGGCTTAGTTGAATTACTATTTGATGCAGTTATCTCGTGGGCGTTTTTCTTTCGTGTGCCTTTTGATTTACGGGATGACCGCTTTTTACTAATATTGTGGCCAATGGAAGTGGAAGGCGTAGCTACTGTGGGAAAGAGTTGTGGCACTGATAACGGTCCCAGTTTCACTGCAGCGTATTTTGATTTTTCTGTCTTTTCATTATTATCAACACTTCGTGGTACTGGGTTGGCATCAATTTTTTCGTATGCCTCTACGCAAATGCGTCTATCGGAATCCAAGCTGCTGCGATGTGAGCTATAGCAATCGCAATGACAAATCTCACAGCAGCTATCGCTTAAGGCTAGAGAATCCAGTTCAGCTAACAGTCGCAGATGTTCTTCCGCCAGCGTAGAGCGTTCAGCAGCGCGTCCATGCATTGGTATGCACGCTTACTCATCAACACTGCTCTAGGCCTCCACTCGACCACTTTCCTTTGGTATTTCGAAGAATTTTCACTATTTACAGCACATCAACATGCTTGTGGCCGTTGTGCCATTTTTCCGCGCTATCGGTTGACCCAAAAAGAACCAGGCCACTATGTCCGACCTTTGATATGCTTTCGAAAGTCCACTTGGATATATCGATTTCTGCTGACTGCGCACTTATTTTCGGCCCTTTCGATCTGTTCATTTGTTACCGACTGTGCTCGTTCGTATCTTTCATTCGTCATCTTAAATGTCCAGTTTGTTTACTTTCCATTGATTGTGGTGCACCGTTGGCATGGCTACCATGGAATCAAATGTGCGCTTTGACATTTGTTAGCTTTTTGTGTCGGTATGTAGTCCATGCCAGAGTACATTTCATCACATAAGAACGTGTTTGGTGCAAGACTGCACAGATTTATGAATTAGTGATTCCCTAATACATACTGTGTTTTTTGAGTATTTGAAGTAAAAGAGTATTGTGTCCTTGCGTCTTTTTACTTGTCCCTAACATTTTCATATTCCTTATTATTAGATAGCGATTTTTTAAATAAAGCTATCAAATAAGTGCCACATATGTTACTATAAGCAAAATTTATAAATTTGCAATAAAATTTGCTTAGTTATATGGTTCATTTTTTAATCTTATTTTTTTCCATAAAAATCCGCTGTCTACTTAGTAACATTGTTCCTACTTTGCTTTAGGTTTTAATTAAATAAAATGCAAAAAATTTTCAATTTTTAAGCAACTATTAAAATGTAGAAGCCGCCGCTTACAGCACATTAACATCGACATATACGTAAACAAAAAGACATACATTTTTATCGAAACTTTCTCGTCAACTTACATAAAATCAAAATTGCTTTCATCATATGGGCGGTTGGCGCCCATTGGCACACCTCCACCGGGGCCGCCGCCCCCCATCTGATTTGGTGGACCGCCTCCCATTTGCCCTCCGACCGGCCCACCTGGCCCGCCTGGCCCCCCACCACCGCCCATTTGTGGCCGAAATTGATTCGCAGGCGCAGACTGTTGTTGCAGGAGCAACCGCAAGCCTGGATTATTGCTCATCATTGGCCGCACCATACGTTGTTGCTGCTGTTGCTGCTGCTGTTGTTGCATGGCCGCAGCAGCCGCTGCAGCAGCGGCGGCAGCGTGTGGTGAGACTTGCTGCATCTGCGCGTTTGGCCCACCCATCATTGGCATGCGTTGCTGTTGCTGCTGCTGCTGTTGCTGTTGTTGTTGCTGCTGCAACAAAGTCATTTGCTGCTGATGTTGCATTGGACCGCCCCCACCCATCTGATCAGCGAGCTGCATGCCGATGACACCAGGTGGTGGGCCCCCACCCTGGCTTATGGGACCACCTGGTCCACCGACGGGGCCACCCATTTGCATATTCATTTGTTGGGCATATTGATTGTAATTTTGCTGCTGTTGTTGCTGTTGCTGCTGCTGCTGCTGTTCCATTTGATGTTGCACATCCATGGGTGTAGGTTTCTGCTGCTGTTGCTGCTGCGCCATCACACTCTGAGGCAAAGTATTTTGCATTTGATCTGTACAAAAAATAGTAGTTATAATGTCAAAATAACCCGATATGAATAGCCCACTTACTCATGGCATTTTGCATTTGCTGTTGTTGGTGCTGTTGTTGTTGCTGCTGTTGATGCTGCTGCTGTTGTTGTTGCTGCTGCTGTTGCTGTTGTTGGCCATGGCCCATTTGCTTTTGTTGTATTACCTTTCTTAGTCGCTCTACAAACATAGTCTGATTGTTGGGTATAAAACCGAGAAAAGCATTCTTCTCTTGGGTGTATAGTAGAATTAGAACCTTGATATCACAAGCCGGTCCATTGGGATTGGTAAAGTGTACACATCCAGCGAAACCAGTCGCCATTACTTTCGAAAGTGTATCAAGCGCCTCACAGGGCGTTGGTCTAAAAACCACCATTTTAGATTCCTTTAGGAACTGCCCGCCAATATTTCCAACAAGATGTTTGGGCATAAGCTGCATAAGCAATTTCGGTGGCCAATTTTCCGCCTTGATCTCTGCTTCGCCATCTTTTATATTTGTAGCTACGCTGCATTGCAGCGTACGTGTCACCTTTTGTTGATCTGGTTTGGTTTTCTCATTCCACTCAAGTACGCCAGACCAAATCTTCTCACGATCTCTGGGATGCTGAGAAGGATCATTACCACCGGAGTTTTGCGATGTGGATGGGCCTTGCTGTTGCATGTTAGCGGGACCTGGGCCTGCGCCAGGTGGGTTTTGGTTAGGTCCCTGACCTCCGCCAACATTACCCATAGCTTGTTGCTGCTGCTGCTGCTGCTGTTGTTGCTGCTGTTGTTGCTGCTGGGCTTGGTTTTGCTGTTGTTGTTGCTGCTGCTGCAACTGCTGCTGTTGCATTTGTTGCAACTGTTGTTGTTGATGCTGATTGATCATTTGAATGCGCATTTGCTGTTGTTGTTGTGCCAATAACGGATTAACTGTCTGATTTGGCGGAGCACTTAACTGTGAAATGAGTGCCGAATTCGGATTTTGGCCAGGCCCACCCATTGGACCTTGTTGAGGGCCACCCATGGGCCCACCGGGTCCCATACCTGGCGGTAAACCCCCCGATCCACCCATGAATGGTGGGCGTGGCTGACCTGGTTGTTGCTGTTGGTTTGCTTGGAATAACCACCGATTTTGGGGATTGATATTAACATTTGGCTGGAAGTTCGGATTTTGATTGGGATTTTGGTTAACAAACTGTTGTTGTTGCTGCTGTTGTTGCTGTTGTTGCTGCTGCTGCTGTTGCATTAGCTGTTGTGGTGTTAAACCTGGTGGTCCACTAGGACCTTGTTGAGGTTGTTGCTGTTGGCCTGGATTCATGCCACCAACCGAATGTGGTGGACCTTGCGTTACCTGACCAGAACCTTGCTGGTTATCGATTTGCATGGGTCCACCTTGTTGCTGCTGTTGTTGTTGCAGCTGCGGATTTCCACCAGCGCCAACAGGTCCAATCATTTGATTAGGCATAACTCCGCCTCCTCCAATATTCACTGTGTTCGCATTCGGGCTTGGTGGACGCTCCTTCAAATGATAGCCTTTTAGAAGCACTAAATGCCTGATATTTTTGGCGTAATTTTTAGCTGCTACCGGCTGATCGCCATCTGCCTTCATAAATAACTTGAACAACACGGGCATTTTACGTGGCGCTATAATAGAGAAATTAATTTTTCGCTCATGAAACAAAGCAGCCAGTTGTTCTACAGTTTTGCCCATGTGTTTCCAACATTCCATTACGGGTGTGGAATATGGAGGGCTGTTGCAAATCAGTATGCAATGACGTTGCACATTCAAAGCATCGATCATCAATCGCGAACGCCGCTCCTTCATATCTTCGAAGCAGCAGTGAGCCGTAGCTAGCCCTTCACTCATATTTGCACATGAATCCATACCGCCCCCAACCAGTGGTAGCTGCTCAATAGTATCCAATACCTGTTTGGGCCATACAAACGGCCCATATGTGGACACAGCTGGATCTAATAAACTCGCTGCAGTGCGGTAAATCACTATACCATATTGGGTAGCATGTCTCTCGGAGATGAGATATTCACCATCGTCCACTTGCCAGCCTTTCGTGAAATGTTCAATAGTGGGCACAATGTAATTGCTCTTTAGCTCGTTCATGTACGCACCGTTCACAGCGGTGGCTTCGATAACAAACACAACGTCAGCAACTACGTCCAATTCCATGTTTGCAGAAGTACGTGGATTTCTAAATTATTGCATTAATTCGCTTCACAATAAAATAAGGAAATAGACGGATGAATGGAAAATACCAGCGGGAGTTTCCAGACCCACAGCCAAATCGCCAGGGTTCCAAATTTATTTAGCAGATCGGAACACAGAAATTGTTTCAACACATTTTAATTGTTTTCGTTTACTTGCATGTTTTTGATCTATGCGTTGATAGAAAATAAATCCATTGCAGTGCGTAAAGAGCGGTTTAATTTGTGCAATTGCTAGCAAAACTCAAGTACATATATAGCAAAAACCTACTTATTCTTGATTAGGGATGTTGCGATACTGTTGATATAATCTTGGTATCGATACTTTTGTTTCGATACTAGGTAAAACGGTATTCGGTACTAGGGTGACGATACTATTGATACCCACATATGTATTTTCTTTCGATACCGCTTTATGTATCATATACTCTATAAACCAATTAGAACAGATCTGGCCGGTTGACAGGCAACCATTTGCAATAGCATTTGAGAAAAAAGCGTGTGACGTTTGTAATTATAATTTTTGCTTATTCTGATTTGTTTTTTTATATATTTTTCTTTATGTGTATTTTGGCGGTGGTTTATTTCAGTGATTTAAGCGTTTTTCAATGAACTTTTTGTTCAAATATAATTAAAATAAAGTGCTCGGTAATTGATTGCAAAAAACACGTACAATAATAATAATAATAGTTAGCGTAAACATGAGCTCAAAAATTGATTTAATTTTTTCTTTATGCTTCGTCGTCATATTTTTTGATTACCTATGGTTCATTTCAATGAAAATAACATGGCGCCCAAATTACAAATGTCAGCCTGAAAATTACTTTTTTCTTGCCAGATCTTGTTTGTACTTACGACGGCATTAACAAAAAACCGATTTGACTCGTTTACACCGTCATCATTTTAGCGCACTCGTTGAAACCGTGTTCAAAAGTAAACAAAAATTGTTATTTTTTTTCGATATTTCTTTAATAGTAATTTGCGCGGTGGACCGAAATAGAAGTGCACAATAATTAAAATTTGTCATAATAATGATTCAAATTTAAGACGGGCTGTAAATAAGCCTCTTTTCACTTCGCGTCAAATGAATATGATGTGTTTATACTTGTTTTCTAACCGATGTAAGAAATAAAAAAGCGATTTGAAACCAAATTCGAGTCAATACACTTTTGAATTTCTGTGCCTGTCGAAATTTGATTTATGCCTCCGTTTTGAATCACAGCGAACTGGTCCAAAGCGCTTTATGTGCAAGTTAGTAGGTGCAATCCCGTATTCCCCGGACTAAAACTAGTAAAACTGTCAAAAAATAAAAATTCGCTCAGAGCGAGAGAGTAACATTGAAAAGTACGGGATCGCTTTCTAATAAAAAATGGTAACTTCTATCAACTTCAACATAACCTCCAAATTTTGGTTGTAAATTTTTGCTTTTTTATATGTAAACACACTCAGATCAGACATGTAAATAACCAAAAATACTTTCAAATTCATTTGAATCCACTTAAACAAGTAAGCAAATACTTTTCAACATGAATTAGCAGAGTGCACTTTTCTTTTCTTTACAATTTGGTTGCCAAACACACTGCAGCTGATCGTTTGACACATTTACCAGAATTTACCAGCAAAAAATTCTCGGACTAAAACTGGTAACTTCTGACAGAGAGAGAACCGTATTTACTCTCTTTTTTGTCCTCTCAATAGTCAGAGAACGGAGTACGGGATCGATTTCCAGTAAAATCTGACTGATTCTGACTATTTCTGACTAGTCCGGACTCGTACGGGATCGCAACATCAATATCTACATCATCTTATTACAAGCAAAGAACGTAAATCTATAAGAAGAGACAACACGTTATAATGTTTTTCTTAGAATTCTATTTTAATATATTTCCAGAATAGTGATTCTATGTTATCGTTCGCGCGATATTTTATTTCCTATGCCCATTTGATACTAGTATCGATACTTTTATGGCATCGTATTGTAATCAAACCGTATAAACACAGTACATATAAAGCGTAACTATTATAACAGTCGTGAACGTAATGATCGTCTCGTACACTGAATTACGAGACGAACAATACGTAAACGACTGGTATAATCCAAAACATGCATATTTACGTGGCGAGTTGCTTGTTCGGGACTGTTACGATTCGAGCCTAGGTATCGATTTTCATTTCCGATAAAACTAATTCCGGGTCGGATTCCGCAACAAAGTAGATTTTAGCAATTTTGAAAAACCTAAACCCCAATGCAACTCTACATACAATCAGCTGTTTCAAGCACAACTAGCGCACTCTCCAGAAAATCACTTGCGACAACTTCTGTCTCACTCGCACCTGCAGAATATTCACGGAACATCAACTCTCGCAACGGCAGCCATCTTCTTCAAGACTTTAACTTCAATTTAAAAACATGTGCGAATGACAAATACAACTCTCTACCGAAACGACGGCAGCATCATACCATTTTCTTTTAGCCAAAGTGGAATCATCGGGCAACAAATTGACCACAGCGCAACCAGCTGAAGTCAGTCAGCAGCAGGAGCTCAACTAAAATTTCAGTTTATTTCCAGTGGTCGCCTCGTCATGTTGAGCGGAATAATTAAAATAGTTAAATACACGTGTGCTTCAACGCAAGTGAAAAGTTAATGAGAAAAACTTTGGGAAAAAAGTAGTCAACAACACGAAACTTCTGCAATCTACATTTGGAGAATGCAAGTAGACATTTAATATAGAGTGAATTGACGTTTATTTAGTGATCAGGAACTGCAAGCGCTGACATTTTGCAATGCGAATTAGTGCAGAGAATAAAAAAAAATTGCTAAAGTATATGGATTAATTTCTAGAGCCGTGTACGCTTACAATTACATTTGGGCGAAAATTTCTTTTTACATTACATTGTAGCGAGCGAGTGCAATAGTGAGTTGGAATTGTCGCGCTACACCTTGAAATCGTTATATTTCCTTCGCCCAACAGTTTATGGCACGTTAAACGTTTGCAAACGCGCGCGCGCCGCCCTACGCAAGAACGAGACAAATATACTTAACGCTAAAAGGTAAGTGCTATAGCCATCCTTTATGTGTTCGGTGTGAGTGAACTAAATATTTGTTCATTTTGACTAGTGGCTATTGTTTTCGCAACTTGCGCCCCGCGCTTTTCTAGTTATCTTTTTTGTTTTTGTTGCGTTCTTTCGTATGTATTTTGTTTTTGCTATGCTTGCAACATTCGGCATTTGACACAGGAAATGCATGAAATTGGAAATGTAAGAAGAAGACGAGCGGGAAATAGAGAAAATGAGTGATTTTTGTTGATGATGGAGAGTGGGAGAGAGCACTATTTCGCACGCACTTTTTTATTCTCGCGTAAGCAAAAACGAGAGTGAAATGAGCTTTTTTGTAGGTATGTATGTAAATATGTATTACAATTTATTTTAGCCCTGAAGGTTATACATATGCATGGGTATGTATGTACATACGTATTTAGCATGCTGACGGAAAAGTTTGAATTTTTATTGCATTTGGTAGGGGTGTTTGGATTGGGGTTGGGTGTTATGTACATAGTGCATTTGTTTGTGTACTTAAAAAAAAAACTACATACACTGCCGGCAAAAAGTATTGGCACGCCAAAATTTTCACAATATGTATGTATATGCAACAAGTTTTTTTCTAATATTTTTTCGGCAACTTTTTATAAAAATATGGTTCATTCAACAACAAAAACATAAAAATATAATTCCTAAATTTTGTTCAACGTTTCATTAAAATTTTCAACTTTTTAATCAGATTTTTTGGATTTTATTTTTGAATGTGCAGTCCATTAAATTCTAGTAAAAAAAATCGCATTGATTTTTGAAAAGTTTTTTTTTTTGTTGAAGGTGTTTTGCATTTTTGCATATACATAAATTATTTTCGATTTTTTTTTTGTATGGAAAAGACTGCGTTAAAGAAATTGCCAAAAATCAATGGTATCTCCTATAGCTACTTAAAACTTGTACTTTATTATAATAAAATTGATTGGGCTAGGTACAAACTGCATACTCAAAAAAGTTCAAAAATATCTGATTAAAATGTTGAAATTTTACATGAAAATTTTCGTGAGTTTGACACAAGGTTTATTAATAATATTTTAATGTTGTTTGTTGTAGAATGAACCATATTTAAAAAAAAAAATTGGCGGAAAAATTTTAGAAACAAAGCAGTGCATGTCTTATCGTTCATTTAATTTGAAACTTTAAATTTGTAGTTCACAAAGTTTTTAGCAAGTATGTAAATATGGATTTTTTTAACATGAAGATATAAAGATATTTTTTTATTAAATTATTAGTAATAGGAGGAAGCTACGCGGTTCCGTATTTTTTATGTTAAACAATACTTTTGTATACTTACATTCATCGATACCGTTATCGATAGATATTTATGTACATATGTCCTGTGGTCATAAGCAATAATCGCCTGAGTTGAAAAACCTGAATTCAAAAAAAAAAAACGCGATAGTAGTTGCAAAATACGAGAGCATACATATGTAACTCAATCCTTTTTTAAGTCGACTTATTCGGTTATTGCTTATGACCACAGATACATATACATATATACATATACTATATACGAAATACAGTGCCGGACAAAAGCATTGGCACGAAGAGTTTTTCGCAATGTACGCAAAGTTTTTTATCCTAATTTATTTTCGAAAATTTTTTATGAAAATATAGTTCATACTATCTACAATAAAAAAAATAAAATCTCTAAATTTTGTGCAAAACTCACGAAATTTCACTAATTTGCGTACTAATTTGCAACTTTCTAATAAGATTTTTTAGAAAAATTCTACGTATGCAATTTTATAGCGCATTCAATTTGAGTACTTATAGGAAAGTGCTATGTTGAAGCTGCTAAAAATCCGCGTTGATTTTTGGCAAATTTTAATTAGTAATTTTTTTTTGAAATATTTTGGTGAAAGTCAAACTATTCCTAATAATTTATTTATTTTTTGTTGAAAAAATCGAAAATTATACGTATGTAGTATGTATTATATCTTATTAATTTTAAACGTACAAACTTAACATAGCATTTACGCACTTGCATGATAACAAACACATTGCTGCTTAGTAAGATGAATATAAAAAAAAAAATTATAAAATAATTGTTATAGGTAATTGCTTTAAGAACCACAAAGCACAGTATTTGCCATAAATCAACTCCACGCAAGCCATAAATTTCGGTTAGCAACGGCACCACTACCTTCAGCCGCTAAAAGCAATTGAGCGCCTACCGCAATATCTCATAGTCCCATAAACAACGGCGCAAACAATGC